ACAACAACTAAAACCAAAAGCACAAAACCCCGGGGCTATAACATAAATTCCTAGCCAACCTGGCTTGCTTCCATGTATCTCCCCATCAGGGTTTTCTCAAGCTCCATCTTCCTTGGTGGCCAGAGGGGGACTGAGCTCTGGCCTTGGCCTATGTTGTTTATAAAGGCCAGGCCCTACCCCCTTCTGGTCAGCTGACCAGACCAGTTGTCATGGCAACCCCGCACCTGTGCTGCCCTGGTGATTGGCAGCTGAGCTCGTAACACTGCCTCCAGTAGCAGGCACCTTAGTGCCCTGCTACAGGGGGACACTTGGCTGGATGGCAGCATTATGGAAAAGGACTTGGAAGTCTTGGTAGACCACAGCCTCATTATAGGTCTACAGTATGATGCAGCCATACAAAAAGTATGGGCTGCATCAATAGAAGCAATTAGGTGCAAGGCATGGGAGGCACAGGTTAGGCCTCTCTACTCAGCACTGACTAGGCTTCATCTAGAGTACTATGTGCAGTTCTGGGCTCCACATTTGAAAAAGAACATGGAGAAGTTAGAGAGGGTCCACAGATGGGCAACAAAATGATCAAGGGCTTGGAAGACAAGCCATACAAGGATAGGCATATTCAGCTTCCAGAAAAGTCACTTAAGAGGGGACATGATAGCAGTCTTCAAATACTTGAAGGGCTGCCATAAAGAAGAAAAGCACCTTTTCTCTCTTGCTGCAAAGAGGAGGACTCAAACCAAAGAGGAGGCTCTTGGCTTGAAGTTAGAGCAAAGTAAATTTAAATTGGATAACTGGAAAAACTTCTTCACTTTTAGACAATGAGGCAGTGGAATAGACTGACTAGGGAAGTTGTGGACTGTCCATCACTGGAGGTGTTCAAGAAGAGGTTGAACAGCCATTTGTCAGGGGTGTTCTAAGCATTGCATTTTTTACCATGGGTTTTTTCCATGCTTTTGGACTTGTCTGGCTGTTCCTGCCTCCCTCCCTTCCTCCCCTCCCTCCCCTGCCTGTTTTTCTGCTATATCTGGGGTCAAAAAGGATTTTTACCCCATGGTGTCAGCCTGTGTTCAAGAAATTAAGACTACATTAGAATCATAGAAATACATAACTGGAAAGGATGTCAAGAAATTACTCAAACATCTGCACTGAAGCAGGATCCAGATCCTTAGATCATCCCTCACAGATGGTCCAAAAGAAGGGGAATCCACAATCTTCCTAGGTAGATTAGAAAAAAAGCTACAGAGACAACTGGGGTCAAGGCAACTAAGTAAGATCTAATGGCGTTCAGTTGTTGAAGTTGGAAAAGGGGTTACATGCAGAGCCAGCCATAGGGAGAATGGCAGTGGATGAACTTGTATTTTGGTGTCCCCCCATGCCTCCCCCCGGCACCTTGGTGGCTCTACCCAAGTCACTGGTGCTGTGTTGGGGGGTGGGGTGCATGCAGGGGCTATGTGGTGGAGGTGGGGGAGTGTGTGTGGGAGTGTGTGAGGGAGGATTGGGGATGTATGTGGAGGGGGTGGGGATGTGTGTGGGAGGGAGGGAGAGAGGGGGTGTGTGTATGTGTGGGGGGGTGTGGGTGAGTGTGTGAGAGGGTGGGGGGGGTTGTGGGAGAATGTTGGGGGATGTATGTGTGAGGAGCTCATGTGCCCCAGCAGCTGCGGGTGGCAGGAGATCCTGTGGGCTGGTGCTAGGAGGCAGGGCTGGGGAGCAGTGGGGACTCAGTGTAGGATGGCAGGAAGGGCAGGTGGGTGGGCAGCAGACAAGACTGCCCACACAGGAAGTGCAGCTCCAGTAGCAGGGTGCAACCACCCAACACCTTCACCCTTGGCAGTGGTGGTGGCTGTGGGGACTGAAGCTCAGCCTCCAGACCCAGCAAATCAATAATGGTAAAGGCCTTGGTGTACAAGCCAGGCCAGCCAGCTGCACTGCCTTTTTACTGGGCATCCACTAGATGTGACCCAGCCCTGGGCTGTCTCCTCCCAGCCCATCATGCAGCCTGGCAGTTCCTGCCACCACCTGGGGCATTTTTATCCTGCTGCCCTGACCAACTGGCTCCAATCAGCTCCAGACACAGCCAGGAGTGGGGTAGGCCCCACTGCCAAGTCCTCAGGATTAGTTGCCACCAAAGTCCCCTCACAGCTCTTGTCCAGCATGAGCAGTGGGGCAGGGCAGAGCAGGTGTGTGTGGTACCCCCCTGACCATTGCACCCTGGGTGGTTGCCCTCGCCTCCCACCCCTAAGGCTACCTCTTACATGATATCAGTTAGTTTAATTCTACTAATTTGTTAGCAAGTTCCGTATAGTCCCCATATAGCTTTGTACTTATATTAAATTGCAAAACTATGAACCATGCACCAAGAATGCCTTGTACTCATGATAAACTTTATATTGGCAATTTAATAGCAATGAAACTGTTGTAATCTGTTTTTTACATGTGCAGAATATGCCAGATACAAGATGCGTGTTCTGCTGAGGCTAGTGAAACATGATGTGCACTAGGGTCAACATCCTAACCTCTCTTGGTTGTCCAAGTGACCTTGACTTGGTCATCTACACAGCATTTTTGGCACTTACATGCAGGTCTGAATTTTATTCCTGGCTGACTAAGCCTGCATACACAGTTATGTTCATATACATACTGGGCATGAACAGGAGAAGATGAGAGATGTACCCAGGCCCCTTATGAACATGTATTGTACTTAGATGCTCTGATATGTAGTCGACGAAAATCCATGGCAACCAGAATTTAGATTCAGGAACGGAGGGAGTTGAGAGCACAAGTGATTGCTGTGAGGATCCAAAGGTTACTCACCTGAAACACGTCCCCAGCCAGGCACATGGACCTCACTGAATTAAGATATCCAGAAGCTGCCAATCTGCCCCTGCTCAGCTTTACCACCTCGGCAGGTGAAGCAGATTGGTGCTAATCTGCAGCCGGGGCAATATCCAGGGTCTGGGAACAGAGCCAAGGAAGGAGAGAGAGAGAGAGAGAGACAGTGCCAGGAGAGAAGGAGGAAGTCCAGGAGCCAGAGACACGGAGAGAATGCTCTGAGAGCCGGGTAAGTGTCTGGTCAGGCTCTGAAGAGGCAGTGACACCCTCACTGCGGGAGTGAAGAGGAGGGTGGAAGGAGGAAAGCGGAAGATAAAGTGGGGAAAGACCCAGGAGAGGGCACAGGAGGTGGATATGCCCGAGCCGTCGGCTCCAGGTTTTTGTCGTTGTTTTTTACAATGCCCTACCATTTGTTTGAAACAGCGGACCAGTCACCATGGGATGCCAGGTAAGGTGCAAGCAGCCGCAGCTGCTGCAAGAAGAATACTCAGAGCAAGATCAGGAGCTTCCTGGACAAAGGGAACAGGATTGTGTTCCCCCGGTGGCTCCACGGCCAGATCAGGAGTGGGGAAGCCGAAGGACGGGGATGACCATCCCTCCTGCAGTTTATTTTAACAAGGGAGTTCCTCTCCTCATTAAGCAGTCTCATGCTGTCAATCAAGCCTGGCATGGCCACAATTAACAAGGGAGCCCAGGGAAAAGCTCAGAGCAGACGGTAAGCCTCCAATGAGCCTTGAAGGGTGACCAGGACCCTAGTTATCCTGGACTGAACTTCAATGGCTTTCAAAAGGAAAAAAAACCCCATAAAAATAAGAGAGGAGAGTAAGGAATTGTTTTGGGCTGGTCCTTTTGTCATCCCTTTCCTGAGGCTTCGGGAACTGGGGCGGAACCTAGTGGTCGATCCAGGTGGAGGTGGGTAGTCACCACCTCCCTTTCGTTAACATCATGTAATCAAAGTCGTGGCAGGAAGGAAGAGGGCATAAGACCTCACCTGGACTAGCCAAAAGGTTGCAGCCACCCTGAGGGGACCAGTGGATGTCAGTGGAACATAGAAGCACATGCTCATACCTGGTGGCTACCTGACAATTGCCTTTTACCTGCAATAGCTGAGTAGCTAGAATACTTGCCAAGGAAGCTGGAGAACCTGGGCTCTAGGGCCTCCAACTCATCCAAAATGAGTTTATATCTGGGTCTCTCTGACTCCCTAGCACAGCACACTAGCTATCACACTACAGGTCAAGCAATATTCAGACCCCTCTCTGCTACTTCTTTTGAAGCAGGCATAAAAAGTGACTTATGTGAGCCATAAGAAAGGAAGCAACCCAAAGAGGGTATGGTTCAGTAAGATAGCTGCTATACTGGATGGGAAGTGGCTGTATGTGGTAGCCTAGACTCTTGCTCCTGAGAAGGCAATGACATTCATTCAGTTTTTTTCTAACAACTACATTAGTGACTCAGCTTCAAAACGAGCTCTGGAAAAGAGCTAAAACAATGCCTGACCCCTGGCCTGATGACTAGAGTGCCATGTTTGGAAATTAGAGATCTTGGACCTCTGGCCTTCCAAGTAAGTGCCTCGGCCACTCAGCTATGGAGAGGAAAAACCAAAGGGTTTGCTGCAATTTTGTTGCCAGTGTGAATGTCCAGGTTCGTTGTACAGGCTTACATCTCCAGGAATAGAATTCCCATCTATGTGTAGGTGTCAAAAATGCCATGTAGATTTCATAGACATTAGGGCTGGAAGGGACCTTGGAAGATCATCGAGTCCAGCCCCC